CCCCATTAAGGTGGATTCTGCTGCTTGCTGCTCTATACCCGCCATTGAGAGAGGTCCCCCTGGTGGTTATTTATGATACCTGGTTAATGAAGTGAGATCCCCCTGGTGGATGGCTGAGTGATCCCTGATCCCTGGAGGCTGATGATCCTACAACTACGTGACCTTCTGCTGGTTGGCCAGTTGAGCTGTGGATGTCCATCCTTCTGTACCCAGAGGACCAGGAGTGATTTAAGTACTCAAATGCGCACATGTTTGCGCTATCTGGTTAGTGCAATCTACACCTATTTACACAGCACCAGAATCACGTTTTGCACCTATCTATTTGGGGACTCACATGTGCATATGTAATATTCTATTATTGGAGTTCACCATCTGCACCTTATAACGTCCGTAGACGTTTATCGCACTTGACTCTACTTCAGCGCTACACAGCGCTATTTTGTATACTATTATTTGTGGGGGTTTTTTTATATTTATCCTATAGCGCTGCATATGTATGATTGGTTTATAAGAAGGTTGAGAGGGTTTGCCTTTATGTCAGCTGCTTTTTCCCTGTACTACCTAGCGCTCGTATACCTTTGTTATTTATCTATACTGATACGGACTGGGTAATGTGTTAGGAATGTAAGAATGTCCTATCGTTTGATGGAAATGAAAGTTATCAACCTACAGAGGACTGAATTTAAAGACACCTCGAAAATCAAAGTGAAAAAATGATGCAGCAGGATAGTTCATTTTTCTGAAAATCAAAATGGCACTCAGTAGTTTGTATGGCCTCCATGTGCTTGTATGCATGCCTGACAACGTTGGGGCATGCTCCTAATGAGACAACGGATGGTGTCCTGGGGTATTTCCTCCCAGATCTGGACCTGGGCATCACTGAGCTCCTGGACAGTCTGAGGTGCAACCTGGCGGTCAGGCGAGCATGGGGGCCATTCAATTGTATAAATTCCTTTATCCTCTAGAAACTGCCTGCATACTTTCGCCACATGACGTTGGGCATTGTTGAGCACCAGAATGAACCCAGGACCCACTGCACCAGTGTAGGGTCTGACAATGGGTCCAAGGATTTCATCCTGATACCTAATGACAGTCAGGATGCCATTGACTAGCGTGTAGAGGTCTGTGCATCCCTCCATGGATATGCCTCCCCAGACCATCACTGACCCACCACCAAAACAGTCATGCTGAACGATGTTACAGGCAGCATAACATTCTCCATGGCTTCTCCAGACCCTTTCACATCTGTCACATGTGCTCAGGGTGAACCTGATCTCATCTGTGAAAAGTACAGAGTGCCAGTGGTGGACCAGCCAATCCTGGTGTTCAATGGCAAATGCCAATTGAGCTCTATGGGGGGGCTGGGTAGCGAGCACAGGTACCACTAGAGGACATCCGGCCCTCAGGCCACCCTCATGAAGTCTGTTTCTGATTGTTTGATCAGAGACATTCACACCAGTGGCCTGCTGGAGGTCATTTTGTAGGGCTCTGGCAGTGCTCATCCTGTTCCTCCTTGCACAAAGGAGCAGATACCCATCCTGCTGATAGGTTAAGGACCTTCTACGGTCCTGTCCAGCTCTCCTAGAGTAACTGCCTGTCTCCTGGAATCTCCTCCATGCTCTTGAGACTGTGTGCTGAGAGACACAGCAAATCTTCTTGCAATGGCACGTATTGATGTGCCATCCTGGAGGAATTGGATTGCCTGTCCAACCTCTGTAGGGTCCAGGTATCGGCTCATTAGTGACACCGACCCTAGCCAAATGCAAAACTAGTGAAAAACTGGCAGAAAAGATGAGTAGGGAAAAAAATGTCAGTAACCTCCACCTGTAAAACCATTCCTGTTTTGGGGGTTGTCTCATTTTTGCCGATCTAGTGCACCTGTTGTTAATTTCATTAACATCAAAGCAGCTGAAACTGATTAACAACCCTCTCTGCTACTGAACTGACCAGTTCCCAGGAGTTTAATTGACTTGATGCTATACTCTGATTTAAAAGTGTTCCTGTAATGTTTTTGAGCAGTATATATATATATATATATATATAGGATTCTGCACAGCCAGCCCACACTGTCGCAGTATACGTACAGTGCGTGGGGTTGGCATATATATAGATAGATAGATAGATAGATAGATAGATAGATAGATAGATAGATAGATATTTGTCAGAAAACCTTCACTTTCCTTTCTGAATTAACATTGTCTATGGGACATTATACTACAAAATACTCCCACAAATGCGGGCCATTGATTGCAAACAAGATTTGCTCATTTTCACACACAAAAAAGTATTTTTCCTAACAAATTCATCCAAGACCATGTTGCAAAAATGAATACACCCCGATGAAAGTTTTAGGGGCAAAGCTAAATTTTAGACAACAAAATCCTAAATAACAAGAATTCAACTACAGGTGAGTCTAATTATTCAATAAACATGTGTCCAGCAGACAGTTGATTATAAAAGGGTGTTACTTAACAAAGAAAAAAAAAACCCTTTCCCATTTCATGCTGTGAGCAATGGCACCACCTGGAAGGGGAATGTCACAAGGCCTAAGAAAAAAATTATTTCTTTACACAAGAAAAGTGAAGGCTACAAGAAGATTTGCTTTACTTATCAGTCAGAATACAGCAGAAAAAGTGCTACAAAAATTTAACAAAGATGGAAATGCAACCGTCTCACAGAGATGTCCAGGCCATCCATGGAAGTTAACACCTCAACAGGAGCATCTTCTGATAAGAAGGGTTTAAGAAAATCACCATGCAAGTTCACTACAGTTAGCTAAAGAAGTTAAAAAGCCAAACTGGGATGATTGTTTCCTTTGACCAAAACTGATTGTTTACCGCGTAAACTGCAGAGGAATGGCATGCAGGGGGGCTGTCCACGAAGGAAGCCTCTCCTAAAGGCCATGCACAAAAAAGCCTACCTAGAATTTGCCAAGGCCCATGCTGAAAAAGAAGACTACTGGGACTCTGTACTCTGGAGTGATGAGACCAAGTTAAATTTTTTTGGAACTGATGGCTTCAAAATTGTAAGGCGTCGCAAAGTTGAGGAGTACAAAGAAAAATGCATGGTGCCTACAGTGAAACATGGTGGGGCTGCATGAGTGCTACTGGTGTTGGGGAGCTGACCTTCATCACAGTATCATGAATTCACAGATTTACAGATGTGAATAGAAGATGCTACCATCACGTCGTGCCCTTCGTTGTCGTGCACTTTGCTAACATGACAATGATCCAAAACAGACATCTAAGGCCTCTGTTGCATTTCTGAAGAAGAACAGGGTGATAGTGATTCAGTGGCCAAGTATTTCTCCTGATCTGAACCCAGTTGAACACCTATGGGGAATTCTGAAGAGATAAGTTGAGCATCACTCTCCATCCAGCATCCAGGCTCTAAAAGAGGCTATTCTTGAAGAATGAAAAAAGATAGATGTTGCAATATGTCACCAACTTGTTCATTCCATGCCTAGAAGACTTGGTGCTGCCCTTACAAATCATGGAGGTCAAACAAAATACTAGATGTAGTAGTTTTTGTTGCAGAGTGTATTCATTTTTGCATCAACCAATTTGAGTAAAATGGAAGATTTTGTAATCTAAGTTATATTATTAACCTTACTTTCATGTATTGAGCTAAACAAATGTTCTGTAAAACTCAGTTTTGGCAAAATTGTGGAAATTGTTCTTGTGTTCATTGAGATATTGATTAAAATCTTACCTTTCAAAAGGGGTGTACTCATTTATGCTGAGCACTTTATATATACCAGTGTTCCTCCAGAGGTTGCTAGGGGTCCCTTAAGCAATAAGTGATTTCTGCCTCAGCTGAGTAACCACTGACACCAATGATATTTTTAGCTATCTCTAAGAGGGGGATTATTCCCAGTTACCAAAAATGTAAGAAACGTTCTTCCCACTGATTATCACACTAATGTACTGTGAGATGTACATTTAAAGCGATTCTAAAGATTCATTTTTTTTTTTTCATAAAATAACAAACATGCTATACTTACCTACTGTGGATCCTCCTCTTCTCAGGTCCGCCGCAGGCTCTCCTGTCTCTTCCTTTCTGTCAGGTGCCCCTACAGCAAGCAGCTTGCCATGGGGGCACCCGCTGCTCAATGTGTCCATTCATTCACGGAGCCGCAACTTGGCCCTGCCCCTCTCTCTCCTCATTGGCTGACTAGCTATAATTGACAGCAGCGGGAGTTAATGGCTCCTGCTTGCTGTCTCAGCCAATGAGCAGGCTGAGACCCGGGACAGCCAAGGCTGTAATTCACATCACTGGATTGCGATGAGGCTCAGGTAAGTGTTGAGGGGGCTGGGGGCACTACTGCATACAGAAGGCTTTTTACTTTCATGCATAGAATGCATGAAGGTAAAAAACCTTCAGCCTTTACAACCACTTTATTAATTATTAGCAAAAGTTCCCTGGAGTCAAAAAGTTATATCAAGGTTCCTCTATGTTAGAAAGGTTGAGTATGGCTGCTCTGGAGTGTCTTAAGTGTATTTGAAGCTCTACAAAAAGAATAGATACATTTTTCCACAGCAATTTACTTTGCTGGGTATGACATCACTACCTGATTCAAGATTTTTCATTTTGCTGACATTTCTATGTTATGAATCTGAATAATGATATTACTGGCATAATAATTTTCTGGAATATGACACAGCTCTTAAGAAAACAGGAAGATGTAAGTCCCTGACCTTGAGACAAGCACCTGCTTTCTCGTATTGCTTGGTGTCCATTAAGTTCATCTCTCTGATTCACCCACCACCTGAACTTGACAGAAAAATAAATGAAGTGAACATAACTAAGAAGGATTTTTTTTTTTAAATGGTCAGTCCATCCAAAGCTGAAAATTTAATTTTTAGCATATGATGGACTTGTACCCTACCTAAGAGCTTCTTATATCTCTCAGGGTCTCCATTGATGAGGTCTGTCTATACTGGGATCCTGGGTCTGTAGACCTGCTTTGACTGTTGTGAGGGGTTCCCCTCTTCCTGTTTTTATGGAGAATGGAACAAGCTGCACTGGTACACAATGGTGGGTGGCAACACCCAAAATTCCCAGGTGGACAGGAGCAGAGCCGAGATTATGGCATGGAGAGTTGATACATTATGCCATGGGTGAATGAGTATCCAAGACAATGAGGAAGCCAGGCGTAGACTCAGCTCCCTGGGCTCCAACTATTGTTGTAAAGTATCACTTTCAAGTAGACTGACCCTTTTAGGAACAGTGTTTTTTCACAGTCAAACTGTGACCACATAGCAAGGTATAGGGGGATTCGTTCTGGATTTGTCCTGGACCTGGAGTGATCAGGTCAGTCACCACAGATAGGTAATTAACCATCAATTATCCATCTCAATTATCCATTAAGTGCTAATGTAGACTGTCACAATATAGGTGCTCTGCCAGCCCCAATTATTAGTTCCTTCCTTAATCTCATACTTAATTCCTTGTGCCCAAATGAAGTACATCCGTAATTAATTCCTTAGGTTCTTGTGCCAAATGTTCCCAACTTCAATCAATGCATTTCCCCCCTGTCATCCTGCCAAATGTTCCCAAATTCAATCAATGTATTTCCTCCACTATCATCCTACTTTATGTTCCCAAATTCAATTAATGCCTTTCCTCCCCTGCAATAATGCGTTCCAACCCAAACTTCGTTAGACAATTTCCTCTCTGTCGTTTGTGTATTCTAGTCCAAACTTCATTAACAATTTCATCTCTGTCATTTGTGTATTCTAGCCCAAACTTCGTTAGCCACTTCCCTCCTTTCAGGATGACCGCCCCCCTGCTGTCTCTCGTCCTGACTCGGATCTTTGAAGCCGAGCCTCATTGCTGAGCAATGAGGCACGCCGCCCATGGCCTGCCCCTGGTTGCCACGGTGACCGGGAAGCATCCTACACTGGTTTAAGAGGCCGGAGCTGGGCTCTCCCTGTTCATCCTCTTCTGCTGCGCAGGCATCGAGAGAGCCCAGCTGCGGCGGGACCCTCATAGCTAAACTCTGCCTGAGACCCCAGCCAAGGGGGAGACCGCACGCTAGCCCTGCCTGAGACCCCAGCCAGAAGGGAGATCACACGCCAGCCCTGCCTGAGACCCCAGCCAAGGGGGAGACCGCACGCTAGACCTGCCTGGGACCCCAGCCAGAAGGGAGACCGCACGCCAGCCCTGCCTGAGACCCCAGCCAAGGGAGAGACCACATACATACTCCGGACTCTGCCAGGTACCTGTGTCATACTATCTTGTCCCCTGGGAGACCGGGCACCCTGTTGGATCCATGAGTACATGCTTCCCCTGTTTTGCCTGAACTGTTCTTGAACTGTTCCTCTGCCTCACTGTTGGATTACAAACTGTCTGCAGAGACTTTAACTTGCCCTTGGGACTGGACTACAAGTGTTTCGGCCCTCTCCTTACTGTTCCCCTACTGGCAAGCTCACCCTCCCTGCAATCCCTCCATTGAGTGACTGTCATTTTGTCTCAATAAAGCTTTGTGTGTTTTGCCATCCGCTTTGTGTGTTCTGTCCTGCCTACCCTCCGTCACATAGACCCTTCTACATTAGGCTGTTGTTATAGTTTTATGGTATCTAAATAGGACCCGAGACTATTACCATCATGGATGGATGTGATGTCAGCAGCCCCAGAAGACTCATAGCAGTAACTCAAGTGACACTCTATAATATTCTCCTCATTTACCTACATGGGATAGCTGCAGACTTTGACAATCTTCAGAACCTGTACATTAAATCTTATTTCCCCTTGCTGCATATGCACTTTTAATATCTATAGATTTCTGTGTGGTAAGGGTTTCCTAATCATCATATGTATCAAGAGATGGCTCTGTAGAAGTCTAAGGGTCAACTGCACAGGCATGACGAGGGGACAGAAGATTATTGGCGGCTGTAAATGTCAATTTCAGGTAAGTATAGGGTGGGGGGAGTTAGGTTCCTACAGGTTGGGGTGGAAGGATAACCTTACTTTTTCTGAAATAAAACAGGAAATATCTATTTATTTAATATATTTTAAGATGAAAAGGTGACATTCAAGAGATAACTGACACTTCTTTAATAACGGGACCCATAAAAGGCCAGGATATGGAAGCTCATGGAAACATTTTAATTTTGAAGGCAAAATAACTGTGGTCTTAAAAATATAGTCATTCCATCGAAAATATTCTGGTGTCACTGCCAAGAGAGGAACTCGCAAAAATATGAAAATGTGGCAGCAATGTAATTATTTTGCCATAAACCGCTCAATGTCTGAGATCTTTTCGTTGTTTTCCTATACAAGCATGAAATTCCATACGTGTAATTACGTCAGCGCGCCACAAGTATGCATTTCTATATCTTTCTACCAGTTGCCAGGCTTGCCCAGCTGGAGGCATTCTAATGTTTATTGCCTCTGCTGTCCACATGACTCTTTTCATTTCAGCATTTGAGAAGACATGGGGAGCAAATTTAAAGATATACTCCAGTCAAGTTTGAAAAAGTAGCATGAAATTACGAGGACTTAGCCAACCTGCGCATGGGCTTTATTCTTTCATCCTAGCAATGCTTGGACACACCCAGAGCCCTCAACATTGTGGGACCTGCTGTTCTGAGAATATCTGTCCTGAACCTGGAGTTTGGCAGGCCAGAGATTCCCAACTCCCCCTATCAGAAGGTCTCTGCAGTCTAATCATATAGACCAGGGGTCTCCAAACTACCAATGGTTGGGCATATCCAGCTCACTTGTAAACGTGGTTCAAGCTGCCTCACATGTGGCTGTAGCAAACAGCTGGGTCACCTTACAAGTTACGCCGACTTTCAGGGCAGATGTACTTCTCATCCCAACTGTACTCATCTGTGTGAGGATGGGGGCCGGAGACTGGACCCTTCACTCTCTTGACTGTGCCTGCTCAACCCCTTCACTCCCAGGGGTATCCATATGCTAGCCCTAATTCCTTCTTGGGATCGACAACCAGATTTACACAGACAATAGTTGCTAAGATGCTCCCTAGGTTTGGCTGTAGCTTGTAGACAGATTCACATAGAGACCAAAGTTGCAATCTAAATTCCTTTCCTGCATCAAATCAAGTAGCATCATAACAGTATCGGGTCCAGGACCCAAAACCGTTCTCAACATGAGAAAGGTAGTTAACCACTGCCCAATTGGAAGATGCTTGCTCCTCAACTCAATCAGAGTGGTTAGCCAGCTACTATCCTGATAGCTTCCTATGAGGAACCAAGGGGTGGACAAAGTTCCAACTGTCTCACCTCAGCTCTGAAGTAATGTAGTGTTGTCTCGTCTTCCCTTGAGGATCCGGAGAGGGATCCCCCATGACTCCCTACTCTCCCCCAGAAGGGGTAGAGCAGAAGCACAGCTCTTCCTCTTCTTCCTGGGACCAACCTGACCTCCTTCCTTCTCCAGCCTTTCTAGGAGCTCCCAGCCTTATCTCAGAGGGAGGAGGAGCAAATAAAGGGAATCTACTTTGCTCTCACCTGCTTACATGCTTGAAGACATTACCAGACTTACAGAAACTTGTTCTATATTTGAGTCATGCGTTTCCATGGTGCAGATGTGCCAGCCACCAGCACCTTAACAACCAATTACGCTGAACAGCGAGGGCACACAGTGGCATTCATTGGTATGTTGTTGGAGGCTGGGTTGATCACACCATTATGGCAGGATGGCAAATCCAGGGACACTCCACAATTTGGAAGAGGACTTGCTTTATTTCCCATCCTCCATCTGGATATGATTAGCCTCCAGCCCTGTGTCATGCTGTGGCTCTTATGAAGATTACAATTTAAAACAGGGAGACTGAGGACTCTGATTTGAAGAGGAGGCCCTGATGTGAAAGGAGGGTTCTGATGTCTAAAGGGGCTTCTGATGTGAAAGGGATCTCTAGTGTGAAATGGAGCTCCAATGTTAAGTGGTGCAATGAGATATGATATGGGCTTTTTGACATGAAGAGTGATTCTGATGTGAAAGGGAGGACTTCTCATGTGATGGGGGGGCTTCTGAAGTGAAACTAATTCTTGGATTGTGTTTATTAATTCATTTTAATTGTATTTATTTGTTCATAAAACTGATTTCTATCCCACAAATATTTGTAAAATATATGATGTGGCTCTTGTACTGAAAACTTTGGAGACCCCAGATATAGACCATCATACTTTCAGGAAGAAAGCTCTCCATCTGTTGCAATGGCGCATTTTGTGGTTTCAGGATCACAAAATCAAAAATCAATTTAGCCAAAATCAATTCACTCATTCCTCCTCTTCAAGCGACCTTGTCAGGAAACCCCAGTCACACCAGCTAGCAATGGTGGCCCTGCTGACACTTTGAGCTGGAATGGTCCATTGCTGTCACCATCGGAAAGCAAATTTAGAGCAACGAAGTTCTACCAACACTGCAGCAAGTGCATGTAGACAGGGAGTGGCTAAAAGAGGCCGAAGAGGCTGCACTGAGATATACAATGATTACATAAATTGAAAACAGTATTTATGGAGGGAAAAAAACAGCAATTTATATATCATACACAGTGCACAGAGCAAACTAAATGTCACCCAGTTAGGGTCTAGATCTAGCTATGTTGTATTATCTGACTTTGGACTTTAGCAGCAGTCAATGTCACTTAGTGTAAAGCCTGGTGGACAAGCAGAAGTAACAAGCTTGCGTTGGTATATGTTTGTCTTGTGTTCCCCGAGACCGAGGTATTTCACTCTATAAGTCTTCGGCTCCCAGTAGATTGCCTCTCCCGCCTCTAGCGTTGGGGCTTCCGACAGCAGACGCCAAGGGAGAGTCCACCTGTCTTTGGTAATCTCACTAATCTGGCCTCATAATTATTCTTTATTAATGGATGCTTCTGCTGTCATTACATACCTCCATTATGTTCGGACAAGGCCTATGTCACTTTTTCCATATAGAGAGGGTTTACGCAGAGTTCCTGAAATAACTCTGTCTGAGAAGTTCGAGATCCAGCTCAGGGACAAACACAGGCCGACGCAGATGCCACCATTTAAAACTTTCTCCTGATTTGATTTGCTTTAAATAGCTTTAAGTTAATTGACAAAAAAAATGACATTGCATGCAGTCAGCAGTGCCTTGAACAGAAAGTCTGATCTAAACAAAAAACCTTTCTATAGTTTTTATTGAGTTGACCAATTATAATAAATTAGTTAGGTGGACTTCTACTATGCAAATTAGCTGATTCCCCAAACTAGACATTCACAATAATATATTATCTATGTCTGCATTGGCCATACTATGTCTGAGCCTGTCTCCACCAATGCATCATTATGACAAGCTACAAATGAAAAATCATGGATCACAGTGGTCCTGTATTTTTAAATTCCTTCCCAAGGATGTGTGGACCCCCCTTTTATAGTCAAATTTGTTTCTATGGCAATTTAATTTTTTCTAAAAGCAATTACACCAAAGTTATGTTACATGAAGGCAGTTTTAACGCATATAATATGCAGAACAGTTTTTCTCAGTTACCACCTAAATAGACAATTATACCAATATTAAACCTCAAAAAACAAAAATGTATTATGTTGTAGCTTACCAATTCTTTTTTTTAATTCCATATTTTTATGCATTTTAGAATTTGTAACCATACAAAAACATAGAACTACGTCTTTTTTTGCACAATTATACGTAACACTGCAAATATACAGGATGCCCATGTCGCATTGAAGTATAGATATGAAAACAATAAACATGCTAAGACCTATGTTCACTGAAAATACAAATTCTGTACATGCTGCTGTAAGTGGGTGAGTGAGCAAATACTTGTACTCCAATGTGTGTATTTCATGTTAGAGTTAAGGTGCATGAAAAAGGAAAAGTCAGGTCAAAGTCAGGAGAAGTTGGAGGGGGTGGAGGTTGGGTGAGATTAGGTAAAGGTATGGGCCAGTTGTGTTGGTAGGAAGCTGTCTAGAACTCTTTTGTGGGGGAGGAGAAAGGAGAGGAGAGTTGTTGTAGGGGTTTGGTAGAGAGGAGAGCAGAGGAATTAGCAAGTACCCCTTGGTTCCGCAACAGGAGAAAAAAAGGAATGTTTAAGTACAACTGAGCAAAAGGAACTTACCCTCATCAGAGAAGATCAAGTCATTCCAGCAAAACCATGTTTAGCATCATTTTTTATGTTTGGTTTGAGAGGATAGGGTGAGGTCTCCTGTTTCCAGGTATTTTGCAAGCCAAAAGACCCAAGTGCCCCAAAAGACCCCCAAGTGACCAACTCCATTCATCTGAAAACCTATATGCAGCATACATAAGGTCTCATATACCCATTGTAAGTATGTGTACAGGTATACTGTATGTTCCCAATGATGCACTGAAAGCTGTTTATTTGCATTACATTACATTAGTAGGCCAGATGAAAAAAAAGCCATCACATGTTTAAAGAGTACCTTTAGCAAGTTATTAGATATTAGATCTTTTTCTGCCTACACCTCCTGTTATGTAAACATATAATAATTTTTTTTCTATAAATATCTTTTCTAAAGGTCCCAGACCTGCTTTTCCATCTTTCTCATCTATGCAAAAATGATGTCCCACCTCCCTTCCCAAAGCCTCCTGAGATACATCACCCATCCCAGGAGACTTCAAGGCAATATCCAGCATGCTATGCTTGCATCACACAATCTCAGGCACACTGAGCACATACAGTGCATACAAGAACCCCAGAAGAGACAGCCACCCCCTGATCAGGGTTGCCAATCATCAATAAATGTACAGACAGTCTGTAAAAATCAGTGATTTTTACAACTGTCTATAAATATCAGGGGCTGATCATTTATCATGCTATGTTGACTTCTGTAAGTGTAAACCTGTCAAATTACTTGTTATGGGTATTGTCAGTGTTTCCATATTGTGTTTAAACTGTTTAAATATTGATTTTCTTTTAATGTCTTTTTTCAGTTGTCAGTATAAAATGTGCTCCGTCAGTAAATTTTCCATGTTTTGTCGGTAAAAAATGCTGCAGGAGGTTGGCAACACTGCCCCTGATGACGTCAGTATAGAAGATGATGGTGTGGAAGCTGGTGGTGGTTACACCAGACAATACTGGATTCTTTGGCTGTGTCAGTTTTTTTTTACAACAACCAGTAATCAAGGTATAAGAGGGGAAACATTGTAAAGAGTGGGAGAAAAGTTCATCTTTACCACCATCTTAGGACAAATATCCAGATCAAGTCTAATAAAATTGGTTTTAGACTGTAGAATGCATAAGTACATCAAGAAAGATGGAAACTGTACAAGTAGATGAGTGCTTGTAAAGACCCTACTCTCTACCTTGGCTCTGGAGTTAAACAACTGATATTCCTGGTCATTGTCTATTATAATGTCTGCCCTCTACATTTAGCAGTTAACGTGATGGTTTTATGGCAGGATATTAAGAAACTCACTTTTATTCTTGAATACAGAGTTTAATGGTCCTTGTCCTCTAATTACAACTGATGTTAATACCATAACAGTGGGCTCTTGTAACAATGGTTATGGCTAGTGACTATAAAGCAGAGGAATTAGCATGCGGCAGCTCAATGAAATGTGACCTCATTTACATTTCCTGATTGCAGAGGGCACAGCACAGTTCACCATTTGAGCTATCAGACCCACATGACGCAGGTGTTGCTTGAGTGATTTGCAGTCATGTGGGCCACAAAGAGCAAAACTTGTCTATGATTGTCTGTGATTCCAGTAAGATCTCATATAGACATTACCAAGTCCGTTTCCAAGTCCATGTAATTTCAAAAGGCATTTTCAGTCTTTTTAAATCTGCAGCTTCCATTAAAATCTATCTATCTATCTATCCATCCATCCATTCAGTCATATCCGACCCTTGGCGATTGCATGGACCATCACTAGAAAGTGACTTTTTCCATAAATTCTCTTAGCAATTATTTTACAGGGTAGGTTGCCAGGTCTTTCCCCAACCCCTACCATGCAGGAGATCCCACATGGCCAGGGATGAAACTAGGACAATTTATACAGGAGCCAATTAACCTACCAGCATGTCTTTGGAGTGTGGAAGGAAACCAGAGTACCCAGAGGAAACCCACACAAGCATAGGGAGAACATGCAAACTCCATGCAGGAGGCGCCATGGTTGGGATTTGAACCCATGACCCATTTACTGTATGGCAGACATGCTAACCACTAAGCCACTGTGCCACCCTTCCATTAAAATAACCCCTAGTTATTCTGCCAGGAAGGTCCATGTTCAGACACTTCCTCAGTGACAACACTCTCTCCTAATTGTTCTCCTATGTTGTCACTGTGGTACAAAGGATTTCGAAAGAGACCACAAAGAACCATTTGAACAAACCTTACATAGACAAGGTCTACTATTGTCACCATCAGGATACCTGACCTATGAAATGCCGTGTGACTACTGGTGGAGTGCAGGTAGACAGCAAGTGGCTGCAGGAGACCAGCAGCACTGATATGCAACAAAAGAAATAAAATTGAGAACAAGTACTTTTTTTATACTGTATTTTTCTAGCCAGTCAAAGTATACGAGTACATGCAGGGGCGGACTGACAACTCATGGGGCCCCCGGGCAATAGGGGATCATGGGGCCCCTGTGTCCTTGTCCAAACTCAAAAAAGCCTATGAAAAAGGTACCAGGGGCATCTCATGGGACCCCCTACTGACCCCGGGCCCTCGGGCAGTGCCCGCATTTCCAAATGGTCAGTCCGCCCCTGGGTACATATAATGTAGTATGATAAGTCTATAGAAGCATTAAGGGCTCATTCACCCAATAAGGTACATCTTAGTGTTTGCGTTTCTTTTGCATGTTCCCATATGTTTATGGGAGCCCATTCATTTCAATGGACTAACCTACATGCAAGAGACTTGCAATGCATACTCTTTAGAATTGTGTAATATCAAACTGCGTGGTACTGTGGCACCATGTGTTTTGGCAGGCATAGACACACATGCATTACCAGATGCAGATGCTTAGGAGTGTCATTAAGAAATAATGGCACCTGAACATGTCTGCAGAAGGCAGCACGTTTTGTTGAAGTGTGGCAAAATGCACAATTTCGCGCATATTTCCACACCACACCTGGTGTGAACACGCCCTCAGTTTTCTATAATCAAATATTATTATTTAATCTTTATTTTTTTTTTTTTTTTTTTTTATATTTTTTATTATTATTTTTTCATGATTTATGTTATTTTTATTTATTTATTTTAATAGTTTTTTATCTTTAATTTTTTTTTTGTTCTTTATGTATATTATTCAAGTATTGTTCTTTATTTCTTAGAGCTCTTGTGCACACCTGTAATTTAAAGTGTATGGCCATACAGAGTAAAATATGGCTGTAGTTGTGGTGCCCATGAGCCACAGCAGATGCTCACATACCCTCCAGCAATAGTGTTAATTTGCTCATGTGTACAGACGTATTGTTTTCAAAATATAATTTAAAAAAAATATATCTTTATATGTGTGTTTGAGTAACCGCTGATATCAGTGGTTACTCCTGCATATGCGTGCTGTTTTCTATAATGCATTCATATGGGCACCACAGCTGTGAATCCCAAGCACCACAATTACAGCCTTATTTAATTCAGTATGGACGCAAGCTGCAAATTATGGTCATGTGTAATAGCTCTTAAAAGTGTATGGAAACTGTAGCAATACATTTTTCATATTTACTAAACAGGTATCTCTAAAGCTGGTCAATCTCAGCAAACAAAGCAAAAAAAAAAACAATTCTGCTGCTTTTTTAAAGGTCCCACTTTTCGACATTCCCACGAGTTAAGCATTCACGTTTAGGCCCTCTGGATTTCCTGTCCAGTAAACTCAGTCCAATGAATGACTCTGAAAAATCCCATTTCAGGGTTCAAAGTTGGCTTGTCTCAACTACCTAAGTGCGACATCTGCAGGAAGCTTATTCTGTTGAAAAACACCAGATTTACTGGCCAGATCACCAGGTAAATATAAAAGAAAGAAAGCCTAAAAAAAAAATGCATCTATTACATCTAAGAATTGGTAAACTGCAATATAACAAATATTTTCTTTTGGGTTTAATACTGTTTTAATATATTGTATTTAAAAAAAATAGATTTATACAAGATAACTTTTTCATATATTTTACTTGCAGAAAGACTTTTTTTCATGACACCTAGCAAAATCAAGTCATCATTCCGTTGTGCCTGTCCAATCCTGCCCTGCCTTCCCATGGAACTGACTGAAAAAAAACACAGACGTCAAAAAGTGAGGATGTATTCAATTGGACACCTTAGGTCATGTCAACTGGGTCTAAGGAAATAAACAGGTATCTCTAAAGTTGGTCAGTCTCAGCAAACAAAGCACAAAAAAAAATACATTTCATTGCTTTTTCAAAGGTGACGGCTCTTCTTTAAAGTGCTTTGTGTTGGCTGGTGTTTCGTAGACACTTTCAGCAGTTCCCATGTGTTAAACATTCACATTTAGGCCCTCTGGATTTCCTGTCCAGTGAACTCAGTCCCATGAATGGCTGTGAAAAATCCCATTTCAGGGTTCAAAGACCCCCAGTCCATTGGCTGCCAGATAAAGGAGCGGTCAACTAAGGAGGATAGGCTTGATAAGATAATAGATGGAGGAGAAGGAGAGGAAATAATTCCCTTACTAAAGAACAGCGAGAGATCCTCATCCCTGTTTTCCAGTAACTTTTTCCCAGTTAATGATTACAGGTCCCAGCCTGCAGCTCCAAGCCCAGGCTCCACCAGAGATGACAATTCATTTAAGGCTAATAGGATTTTAAACTCCAAACCGATCCATGGAGATTTTATGGGAGAATATGAATACATTTAAGAGACAGCCAGCTGTGGGTGGGTAGACAGTTAAGGATTTGGCACTACGGATAAAAGAATTAGGGATGAAGGCAGGCTACTGATCTTAAATCCCTTTTAGTGGATTGGGGATTGCTGTTAAAGATTCAATTTCCACTTGCTCGCAAACCGCCGTGGTGAAAGCCCTGATCATATTCTCTTGACTCCATTCAGCCTCTCTGAGTCATGATCACACGCTGGTCTGTTAATGATACACAATGGACTGCAACACTTACACCCATGTGCCCCTTGAAGAGATTAAACTAAACATGTCGTGGAACTCTTGAGGCTGCTTGCCAAAACATTGGTTTAACTTTAAGTCAAACACTTTTTTTTCTAAGAAATTTTCAAAATAAAAGATGATCAAAAAAAAAACAGGGGATGTATGCTTTCATTTACAGATTTATCCAAATCCCTTTAATTAGTAAAGGGAATGTATACTGTGTTTTAAAGGGTAGGGAAGAAAAAAAACGTCCCTATGTAACATACAATTCACTTCACCTTTTATTTCCTACATGTCCTATATCTCTCTAGATTCCCTGTGCCCTTTGCGGCCCTTTGGATTTCACAGTGGGGCCCTTAGACCCCAACAGTCAGTTTTGGAAACATTGATTTGTAAGGGGGCTGTAATAACAGTGATCTCATGTAAGGGGCCTGGGTTGGACAGCAGTTTGTGACAAGCTGACCCAGGTCCCACCCTGCTTCTTCTCCATATAGGATAGTCACATCCCTGCCATGCATACTATCTTGGCCTCAGGCTCTCCTTCTGGCATATTCCTGGCCTGGGGGCCTGTTAGCCAGAATAAAGATTGTCCGGTCCAAATTCATTTTCAGTGCTTTACTGCATTAACTCAGGTTCAAACAGCAACCCATCTTCTCCATGGTTCACAGTCATAGTGCATAACACTTGAGTAGCACTACCCCTTCAGGAGTTACAAGAGAATTGGGTCCCCCTATAGTCCTGCACAGCCAGACATCACACATTTTCTGTTCAGACTTGCATCAGGAGACAGAAAAACAGTCCTTGAGCTTTGTTTTAAATTTTTTATTTGAGATGTAGAACTTGGATGGGGTAAGAGGTGCATGGGATGCCCGAAGAAATGGCAACTGAGGACAAACTTCCTGAACTATATTACTTCTAGGAGAGCTCTACAGCCTCTCCTGGTGTACTACCCCAGATGAATCCTCTTCTTCATCCAGCTGTCTGGAGGAATCCCTGGGCAAGAGAGCCCAAAGCTGCCACTTAAAATGTCACAGTCCCGGGTGTAGAGCTAGTCAGGTTCCCCACCCATATGCTCTCTCCCCTTTCTGGCCCAGGGGGTGTAGGGGTGTAGTCCTTCTCCTATGCTGCTGTTATTTAGGTAGCTGCTACCAGACCTATTAGCTGGGTTGCTCCTTCCCTGCTGCCAGGTGGTCCTCTCTCAGGGGGCCAGTGAAGTCCACAGCTTTCTTCCTTTCAAGATCCCTTTGTCTGGAGGTGAGCCCCTTCCAGCCTTGGCTTCCTACCAGGCTCCTGCATTTCAGCCTGACTTCTCCATATTCCACCCGCACTTCTCCTCCAACTCTCCTCCAACTGAACAGGTTCAAACACTTTTAAGGCGGGCCCAGCCCCTTGCCAAGCCTTCTGTTTGGGATTGGCTAGGGTCCCTAAAGAGTGCAGCCAGTCACTTAGATCCACCCACTGCCTCTAGAGCTTTCCTCCAAAGCTCTACGGCAAGGAGAAATTCCAGAGGGGCTGGTCTGCAGAGCCTTTCAGCCCTGACCGTAATTTGACCCCAGTCTGGCTATTACACCTAGGTTGCTACTCAGCCCCTATCTAACCACTGGAGTCTAGCTCCCCCTAGCTACCTAGGAGGATGCTACACTTGGTATAATACACAGTAACATTGCAACCAGTCATCGTCCCAGGTGTTACCAGTCAGTCCTCACAGGTGGTTCCATACATAATTGGTTTCTCAAATTTAGACCCCAAGGCCATTCTGAACCAAGCCACAGACTTGCTAAGCAAATTTCAGGGGTCGCAAGGCTCCTTCATCTTCTTCCTATGTGTTCCAGCCCTGGCAGGTCAGCCCCAGAGTGGGCCCTTTCTTAATTATGCACAGGCCACAGACCTACGTTGTACATGGTGTTGGTCAAGGGTGATCTGTTCCCATACCCAGACTGCCAGGCCCCACCACGGCCAGAATAGACTCCATCTACTACATTGCCAGATGAGTGGAAATAACTAAAGGGCCCTACACCTTCCAACAGTCCCATGTAACCTGTCCTACAGCATGACTCTAGTCTCCAACCATTTCCTTTGGAACAGCCTCTGACCATTATTTCTAATAGGTATTCAGTTTATGACTGTCTTTGGTAGCATTACATGAATATTATTTGTGGCTCCTTAATGATATGTGGAGTCACATTTGACAAACACTGATCTAGATCCTGCCAGATTCATTGTGTAAGGGGCTCTTTCTGTTCTAGTGTGGCTTTAATGGGTCTTTTGGAATGCAAAGAGTGTTGTATCCCTCTCATCAGCAATACTGTTGCTGAACTACATGATGCATGATGAAGAATAGGAAGAATAGGCTCGTCATGTCCACATAGGAACACCAGCTCCTCTCCTCTGATGATTGACAGCACCCGTTGAAGTCCAGCGGCAAAGTTTTACATCAATGGAAGATTTAGAGCGCCACTGATAATATCTGCTTACAACACTCCATAAAAAAGTTGTAAACCTCTAACCAAGTTTACCTATGGCCAAGCCATTTTTTGTAGATTTGGATGGAGTGTAGAATTGTTACTGTCATGCTTGTATTGCTCAAACCTTAGAAATACAGAAAGGAGTGTCAGACCAAAACCAGATGAAACAGTTCAAAACGTTTTTCATTGTTTAAAAAAAAAAAAAAAAAAAAAAAAACTGCCA